GAGGAGAGGAGAGGGAGCGGGACGAACAAAGGGAGATCACGTATGTATACGAAAAGAGAGACGGAGGGTGGCACTTATTCACGTATCCAGCGTCGTGCCAATGTGACGTTATTTCACGAGAGCGCCGATCGTATCGCCTTAATTGCTCGGCGAGTTAAACTGCCGCGCGGCCGCCTCTTATCGAACCATCAGCTCGAGTGGCCGGCCTGGTCTGCCTGTGTCGGGACCGGGACGGCGAATCGCGCTTACACGCGTCAGGTGTTTTCAGCTTGCCTCACGTCATCGTAGGCTGCGCGCGACTATATAGGCATAATAACGTAGCTATGGGCGGATTGACGCAAGTAAAGGAACGTATTGTCGGACGGACTGCCGACATCGTTCTGCCCGCCTTCTCCCGTGAAATTGCATTTTGACACGATGGTTTTATTAGCCGCTCCACATACACGCCTTCGACTCTGTTCGACGAAATACATTTAAGTAAATGATCTGGCAAATTGCGGGATACGATTACACGTTAACCGTGCACGAAGCTCGATATTACGCGAGGAGAGAAATTTAGTATTCTCATCTCTGATACTCTCGGCTTCATTGTTTCGCTTATTTCGAATACGTCTATTTGTGCTTTTTCATGCGGAGCGGTGAGAGATCCGCCGTGACGTGACGTGTGTGCGGGAAGATCGCACGAATCACACCGCGCGAGAGATATGGCTGGATATAACGCGCCGGTAATAGTTAACAAGAGCAGAGCGAAATGCATGCGCCGCGGCGGCGCACCGCAATTTCAGCATACCGAAGAATTACGAGCGTGCGAGAATCGTCTCGTTTCGTGTCTTGTTCCGCGATAGAGAGACTCGCTTTCGCGCGCAATGCGAGACGCGCCGCGCACTCGCGCGCGCTATCATTATTCTATGCATTATTTATGTCATTCCCCGTGTGCCGAGTACAATGTGGGTCTACGAATCAAAATGCATTGCTTATGCAAATAGCGGTCGTGCCCCATAGTCTCGGGATGAATTCGCAGTCTGCTACGGGGAATAATCATAATGATCAATAAGATACAACCGCTTGTACGCCCATCTCTCTTTCCTTCCCTCCCTCCCTCTCTCGTTTCCCATCTCTTTCTCTTTCTCTCTGTCTCTCTCCGTGTACTCTTACTCCACACCTCATGCAAATCTTGAGGCGTATTGTCTGGCGATATTAAGGGAATTGTTATCGCGTTGCATAATTTCGGTATTCGATCGTAACTCGGGTTTGCTCGAGCTCGCTCGCACGGCAATCAGTTTGTTATGCACTCAGCATCGATTTCCGTATCGTTTTTCGCTTAATTTCCCCACGAAAATGGTAGAAATCACGTAACTTATTGCTCATTATCGTCGACCGCGATTATTTCGTGCGCGATATTACGGCTACTCGAAGAATTCCGATTGTATAGCGCTTAAATCGTTACGAGATAAATCATGTTTTTGCCTATTTCCCGCGCGCGATATTTCGATAATATTTCGCGACCAGCGGCTCTCTACGGAATAACGGAAGGTGGTAGAGAGAGGTTCGCTTATAGGGCGAACGCGGTCGGTTCTGGTCGTCGGGTGGTTTTGGAATCCGCGCCACGAGTCGGTGGTTTTGCGGTGCGACGAAAACCGCCGACCCTCTCGAAGCTCTTCCCGGCCGTTCTCCCTGTTTGCGTCGTCCTTTCGCGTAATCCCACCATGGTTTAGCGAGTTTCTCACGAGAGAGCCTCTAAGTAAAGCGGACGAGTGTGCGCGGCTACTAACTCTCGAGGCTGCCGTCTCTTTGATTAGTGGCGGTATATCGGGTGCTCGAATTGATACGTGCAATCCTCCGTTTCTTTTCGATATTGAGTTAGAAAAGACTAATAAAAATTTATTATTTTTTATAAATAAAATGGGTCAATAGTCAATTCTTTAATACACGGAAAAATTTTTGTTTGACAAATCTAAAGATTTGGCCAAGTATCTGAAAATAATTTTGTCGAGCTACCAAAATATTTTTATAGGACGTTTAAATTTGTCGCTGAAATATCAAAAATTTCTGCGGTATTATTATCATATTTGAGCGTCCTATATAATAA